TACACCAGCAAAGAATCGTCAGCAAGTACACTGCTGAAGTCAAAAACAAAAAAGGAAGGCAAAGTACAGACAGGCATAAGGACATAGGGTATGACATTTCCATCAGCAGAAGGAGAGAGCGGAGGGGCCATGTGCATCTCCCCTGTGCCTCGCCGGGGGGAGGGGAGCTGCCTCCAGGGAGGGGAACTGCACGTCTGCAGTGGGAAAAGCTGTCATTAGATGTGTTTCTGAACGGGTTTTTTCCAGGTGGATGTTCACTTAGTTTTTTAATTAACATATAATGTAGTTTGCCCCAGGGGTACCTTACTTAGTTTTTAATGTGAAGATTCTCATTAATGTGTTCAGCAAAACCTTCCTCAACATCTTTTTAAATGCCAAGCACTGCGTAAGACTCGGGCTGAGACGGGAACAAAATGTCGTCTCCCCCTTGAGGCCAGCGTGGCGCAGGGCCAGCACGGCACAGGACAGCGAGTTGCGGTCACACAGCCGTGCTGCGGAGAATCTGCAGGGACTCAGCCCCGCTGAGCAGCCACTGTCCCGGAGCCGGAGACGCTTCTCCCCGGTGCACCTGCTTTGTTCCAGACTATCTGGGGATGCCTGTCACAGAGGCTGCTGGACGGAGAGAGTGCTTCCCTCTGGACGGAGCACCGCGATGAGATAAAATCTTTTTCTGGAGCAAAGGCTGGGCAGGAGTGCCGGCAGCCTCCTTGGGACACTGGGGGCTCCTCAGCTGTGACACAGGCTGCTGTGGGCACTGTGTCACATGGCTGACCTGCATCGCTCCCGGGGGACTCGGGAGAAGGGAACCATGCGAACGTGGCTCCCAAGGTGCCCGAGTGCCAGGGGCAACCATGTCTGTCTGGGCCCAGAGCCCCGAGCCTCTGGCAGGCCTCTTTGCTAACCTGCCAGCTTGCAAGTAGGAGACTCCAAACCCCTCAAACCCCCACCGCTCTGGACAAGTAGATCAAAGTCAAAGAAAAGGAAGTTTTTAGTCTAGCACCTCCCATGGCCCTGGTCCTAAGCTAACATTCACCACCCTACCCTCTTCAGCCGTGCACCTGAATGGGACAGCTCCAGGTGTGGGGCTGTCCAGAAAACATGGGTCCCACCTATGTGGGGGACCAGGCCCCCAGGCCCAGGCCACAGGCCCTCCAGATCTAGGTGTAAAAACACAAAGTCACACAAAAGTTCCTCTCCACTCTGTGCACAGGCAGGAAAACTGGGCAAAGCCTGAGTGGCTGACTCATTCCCTGCCCGCCGCAGGTCAGCACAGGCCACCGCCGGGAAACAGGGCTGGACTTTCACTATAGTTTTAGGCACTGGTGGCCTCAGAGCACCTCATACATCTATTAGGAGGATTAAGTTAGTCTTATCAATGAGTCAATATTAAACGACAAAGCTCTAAATAGCTCCTAAGCTTTTCTTATACAGTGAATTCTTTAAAAGGATTTAGAACTGAAGTCGTCTTCTGTCTGGATTCATGTGTTTGCATTTGCTTTAGACCCAGAGCGCAGGAAAAAGAACTATCAGATTTATCCGCATGACCTCACTAAAATAAGAACTAGTTTTTCCTTGTTTCTGTTTTTACACCAACTTCTTAATCCTATAGGATTTAAAAGCAGACACTACAGACCTTCTCACTTTTAACTCCATGAAGCAAATGTACACTCTCTTCTCATCAGTCAGAAAGCCTTCACTTTCTGCTTCTGGTTTCCCTCATCCACAGTATCTTTATTCTGGTAACTTATTCCTATTTATATCTCTGGCATTTGAACCATGCATATCTCAACGAGCAAACAGAAAAAAAGGACTTTAGAACACAAGTTGTCCTTCTTCACAGAAAACCGAAGGGAGGCCAGGCCCAGGACACAGTCCTATGGCTGCTCTTCTCCTGAAGGGCAGGTGGCCTGTAGCAGGCTCTTCCTGTAAGTCCGAAGGTGAAATGAGTCACACGCAGGTGTTTTTGCTATAGAGCTAATATTAATAATAAGAGCCTTCCATAAAAGAAAACATCCAAGACGGATGCTTGTCGCTGCAAGAAAACTGAGTGGTGTCTTTCTGGGCCGCTCCAAACAAGGAAGACCGTTTACAACCTTTATCCAAAACTACCATGTTCTTTCTGCTCCAGCTGATGTCACGGCGAACGAGAGATTTTCAGAGACTCTGCCTTTAGATGTCGCCATCCCACTGTCTGATGTGGGTCACGTACAGATCACCCCTGAGCCACTCTGAACCCAGGCAGGAGGTGCCTGCGAAGGAGACCTTGCTGAGCATTTAGGGTGTCCTGACCCCCCAGAGGCGTGTCCGATGGTGGTGAGAGGCCTGAGGGGCCCAGACATCCTGGAGAGAGCAACCTGACAGCTCCCGGGCAATGTCTGCCTGCCCCACAGGAGGTCTGCCTGTCTCCTGCAAAACTTTTTTTTTTAAAGAACTAGTTGTAAACTTTTAATAAACTGGAATATTTTAGGTAAAGTCTACATTTCTGATATTTTCTGAAAATAGGAAGCTGGGCAGTTTGGCACCTGCATTTCCTCACAGTAACAACCAAGGGTTGCACAGAGCAGCTGCCAGTCGCCCCCCGTATCCCCACGGCCCCACGCGTCGGCTCTGCCCAGCCACAAGGCCATCAGCTCGCCCTGGGCCAACACCTTATCCTCATGAAGGGTTGGTCAGGGACTAGGGGTGAGACCTGTGTCTTTGGAACAGAGTAAAACCAAAAGGACATTGCTTTGAATGAACTAATGCCACACTCCATCTGTGTGAGATAACCAGTAATGAAGAATCTTTCCTATACATATAAAAGCCCCTGATTGTGGCCTATTTCATAATGGCAGAAAACTTAGCTTCCCTGAACGAGTCCCCTTTCTCATCACACAGCACCTGTCAGGCGAGCCACAGGCACAGACCTACAGATGCCCCTCCACGCTGCTCTGTCCACTAGCCAGCCAACCCCAGGCCAACCGTGAGGACATTCCGCAGAGGGAAAGTCATGAGCCGTATGCTATTTTTTAAATGTTAAGTGTTCCTTGTTGCCCACTGAAATAGTGCCAGTGTTCTATTTGTTAACAAAATGTTCTTGATGAATGTGGGAAATAAAGAGTGACAAGAAAGAACCATGAAGTATTCCCAGAGCTTTTCCCTAAAACATCAGTTGTGAGGGCAGCGAGGGAAGGGGGCTGTCGCCCAGGTGCAGGCTAGGGACAGGTGTGCCATCTGTAAGAATCTGTCAACAGTAATAAAACTGAGTACAGCTTGGTCCGCAATTTCATGATGTACTCATGCCAGCAGTGTCGACAGCACTCTTCCTTCCCCATTTGGGACAGTCTGTGTGTGTCCATGGCTTGTGGCAGAGGGCCTGGGAAGTATGGCCTAAAGAAGGCAGCAGGAAATGGCAGCGTTCGGCCCCGCAGAGCCTATGACGCCCCGTGAACCCTGGAAGATGAACTCCCGCAAAGACATGGCTCTGTTCACCGCTGCTCCAGGAGGACAGTTAGTACTAGTGAGTGAATGCCATTGTGGGCAGCCTCAGAGCACATCAGTGCCCGGACCGCACAGTGATGGTGTGAGGGGTATGGAGCTCACTCTCCAGGCATCTTCGGATGGCCAAGTGTCACCTACTGAGAAGGCAGCAGGCAGCGGGCTGGCCCACCTGTCTCTGAGCTGGAGGTCTCATGGATGGTGCTGCTGGGACCTGGGCTCACCAGACGCTCACCAGAGAATTCTAAATTCTGGCTCCTGTCTGCATTGATTTTTCCTAAATCTCTTAATGTTCACTGAAGGGAACGGACCTCAGTGGCCATGATGATAGATTTGTCTTGAGGCGCTGGCTGACAGGACCTGTGTCTCATCTATCCTCAGAGCTGGCTAATTGGTCCGAAGCCGTCCTGTCCCGTGTGGTGGTGGGGGAGGGGCCCTGGCTGCTGTGAGGTGGGTCCACAGTGTATGTGCTGTAAGTGCAAATCAAATACTCGGTTCCTAAGATTTAGTATAAACAAATTCAAAGTTTCTTATCCATATTTTATATTGATTATAAGTTGAAATGATAATGGTTTGGATATTTTTGGATAAAGTATATTAAAATTAATCTCCCCTTTTTCACATTTTAATGGGGTAACTAGAATATTAAAAATTATCTATGCGGTTCACCTTCTATCTCTTCTGGGCAGCAGTGGTCTAGAACAAAGCCCAAGTGCGTAACTTCTGGTCTCAAGTCCCCCTGCAGGACACCAACCTGTTTTAACACGGAGTCTTTGATTTCACTTTTTGTCTTGAAAATGAATGAAGATGAAAGACAAAAGGTTTTTGCTTCTGTTATAATGTGGGTGTTATCACGGAACCTTCTGAATTTACAGACTGTGAATGTGCCTAGCCAGAGTACACACGGTCCCAGCATGTGCGGTTTGACCTGGAGAAGGTAAAGTGAGCAAATCTGCTGTATTCACAATAGGTCTGTCTTCAGGAAAACAGAAGTCTCATTTCCCTGTTTGATTTCTGGTGTTTCCACATTCCTAACTGGACTAAAATCATCTGGGATGTGACTAAAATTTTTAAATGCGAGAAATCAGATAAAAATATTCATTCCATGGATAATGGAGTTGCTTTTGCAAAGCATAACAATGCCCATGAAAATATTTTAGTAATTTGCTCTTATGTCAAACCATGGATACTGTTACTGTTAAGGATTAAGGCTTGGGTAGGGAGAGGGTGGCTGGGGGATGGACAGTGGGAAGTGTGTGCTATGGTGAGTGCTGTGAAATGTGTAACTCTGATGATTCACATGCCTGTACCCCTGGGGCTAATAATACATTATATATTAATAAAAATAACTTAAAAAAAGTTTATTATGGGAAGGATTCCCCGGCCCCCGGCAGTGGAAACAGACCTTTTTATTTTTTGAAGATGCGGGTGACTTTAAAACATCAATTTTCAGAGTGAGGGGGAGCTATCAGCCTGCCCGGTTATCCAGCTGAGCCCCTGTACTCACCAAGCGGCTATCTTACCTTTGTATTTTCCTGTTTGAGTCCTTAGAAGCTCTGTGCATTTTGTCTCTTCCTCCTGTATTTCCAGATGAAATCGACATTCTGGGTGAACACTGTTCACCTGGTCAAGGTTTAAAAAAACGGAAGTAACTAAAAATTTCACCATAAGAGGAAAGTCAAACAACACTTCTACAAAACAAAACCAACTGCTCATGGTTCTAAACTGCTCCCCAAATAACACTCACTTAAAAGCAATCACCTTCATATTTCTGACATCATTATTAAAAAAATTACTTTGTAAAAGACTTATAACACAAATGTAACCCTAACAGAATCTTTTTCTGCGCAGAAAGCAACTTACTAACCCACACATCGTCTTCTGTTCGTACCACTTTGGTAGCAATAGATTTTTTAATCCAGTGACCTCTCAGTGTCCGAGTCCTCCATTCCTAGCCCTCGATTTAGTTACAGTACACACACGTGTGCTCTCAAGACTGTTCTTAATGACCACGCGCTAGCCCCAGACGCCAGCCCGCCTCATCGAAGGACAGCCTTGCACTTGCCGGACAGACCTCTAACGGGATAACTTCGTTTGCAGAGCCCGAGGTCACATCTGAAACTGTTAGAGTTTGGTGTGAAGAAGATTTTCAAAAAGATCAGAGGGTAAGTAGGGAGAGGAAGAGAGGGAAGAGTGTTATGCCGCCTGAACAAGAGGTGGGTGATTTCCTGTAGCGACCTGTCGCGGGAACTAAAGCTGTGGAACCGGGGAAGAGTGAGATCGCCTGTGGGCGTGGGCATCAGACAGAGCCGCACGCTTCAGTCTTGGAAGAAAAGAGTCTCCGAGCTCTGCTTTTATGAAAATCCAACGTTCTCTCTTTTTTATTTCTCCCCATCCCAAGTACTCGTACTGCAGGCTGGAGCTGCACAGCCCTGCTCTGTCTGAAGAAAATCTTGCTTTTCCTGGGAGGCAGTCGTACTCTGGGTAGGTGACGGCCACCTGTATTCACTGACCTTACTATCCAAACGCTCGACGGGGACCCTCACCAGGTATAACGTTTCTAAACAGAATTAAAAGAAGAAAATGCTGATACTTTTGCCACAATTACCCTCACTTTTAAAAAGACACAAAGTGTCCTCCCCCCCCCCCATTACTACTGGACAACACCCACTGTAGAACCTCCTAGTTTCGGACAGACTGTACTTCTCCTGTATGAACAAGTCCATGGTCTTTAAATTTTAGAATTGGGAAAATTACGTTCACTTTACAAAATGTTTGTCAAGGTATAAAAAGACGCTACGGTTCCTGACATTCTTGAACATGCAGAGCAACGACTGACTTTGGGACACCTTGGGAATCAAAGCTGCATTAGCCAGAATAATCCTGGTACTTGTGACAACCAGCTCTTTCAAAGCGTTAATGACTAACAAGGGTCTTCTTCTTTTTTTAAGAAAGATTTTATTTATTTACTTGACAGAGAGAGAGAGAGGGAGAGAGGACAAGCAGGCAGAGCCGCAGGCAGAGGGAGAGGAGGAAGCAGGCTCCCGCCGAGCGGGGCTGGATCCCCGGACCCTGAGGCCGTGACCAGAGCCGAAGGCAGCCGCCCAGCCCACTGGCCCCCCCGGCGCCCCTAACAGGGTCTCCCTAAACCCCGTTCCTCCGCAGGACAGACCCGGTGGCCTTCAGCCCAGACGAGGGACTTTCGTCGGTTCCCACGCCAACAACGAGACGCGACACAACGTCCCCGCACAGCTGCGTCCGGGGCTTCACCGCCGCGGCTCCAGCCCCGCGATCCGGAGGCAGACGGACACACGGACGGACGGACGCGCAAGCCCTGCCTCGGCGCAGGAGGAGAGCAAGAACCGGGCTGACGGTTCCTTCCGACACAAGGAAGAGCTCTCGGGAGCCGGAGAAGCGGGTCGCGCGGTCGCGAACCACCCGGTGCTCGGGCGCCCCGCGCCCCCCCGCGCCCCCCGCGCCCCCCGCGCCCTGCAAGGAGCCGCGACGGAGGAAGCAGAGCGCGTCCGAAGGGAACTTGGCCGAAACACGAAACAAACACAAAGCAGCGACGAGACCCAGGAGGAGACGGAGCGGCGCCCGTGACAAGGCCAACTCCGGTCTCCCGGGGGGGGGGGCGGGCATGGCCCTGTCCCCCGTCCCTCGCTCGGGGCGACGACGTGACCGCCCCGCGCGCCCAGCCTCACGCCCCCGGGAAGCAGCGGCCAAAACAGCGCCTCCTTGACCGGGTCCCGCTTCCAGCAAACCGGGGACCACACGGACGGGACCGACAGCCGCCCCTTCCCCGCCCGAGCCCTCGTCTGACCCGCGGGGGAGGGTACCGGGGCTCCTCCGACCACCCCGTTCCCGACCCGGACCCGGACCCCGGCGAGCGAGGGTGCTGGGCCGGCCCGGTGCCCCGCGCCCGGACGCGGGAGGGGAGCGCCGCGGTCGGGAGCCGCGCCCCAGTCCCCGGAGGGAGGACGCGCGTGGGGTGCGGGAGGGCGGGGGCCGCGGACGCACTCACGGGGGCGAGCAGCCAGCCGCAGCAGGTCAGCAGCGCGGGCGGCAGCAGCGCGGGCGCCCTCATCCCGGCTCGGCGGACGCCAGCGTGGGCCGAGCGCGCACCCCCGCTCCGGCCCCGCTCCCGCCGGCGGTCGCAGCTCCGCGCGCCCTGCCGCTGCCACTGGGCCGCCGGAGCGCGTGGGAGAGGCGCCTGGTTCCCCGCGGGCCGCCGGCCTGGCTGCTCCCCGCGGCCCGCGACTCCGCCCCCGGCGCCCGGGGCCCCGCCCCGCGCCCCTTCCTCCCCGCGGCCCCCCACTCTCCCTCGGCCTTGCTCCCAGCGTCCCCAGCTCCTCCCCTCCCAGCCCCGCGCGCTCTCCGCTTGGCCCCGCGCGCTTCCCCCCTCCGCCCCGCGTCCCCGCCCGCGCCCGCTCCCACCGCGCACCACGTCCTCCAGCCTTGCCCCGCGCGCCCGGCGGCTGGCGGAGCAGAGAGACGAGCGCAGGCAGGCGAAGGGCTTGCCGTGGCCTCCAGACTGCACGTGGAGCGGTCAGCGGGAGAGCGACTGGGGACAAGGAAACAGGGCTCCGGTCGTGAACCGCCACGGGTTTGCACCTACCTACGTCCTCCTCGTTAAATAATAAGCTGAAGGCGCCCCCCAAATGTCAAGAAACCCAGTTAGGCTGGGTGTGCTGCCTTCGAAGCCAGTGGGATTGGGTCGGGGCAACTGAAACGTAAGAAGAAAATTGGGGTGCGTTTGGGTGTGGGCGGACTCCCCATGTCGGCGGGTCCTGCCCAAGCCAAACCAGGAAAGCCATTCTGTCCTCCCGAGTGGCGAGTGGCGGCTGCAGAGGGGCCCGAGATGGAAATGGGCATATCCGGAAGCATCCCCTCAGCTCTGAACACCCCAAAGGATTATTTCAGTGTTAGAGCTGGCTGCTATCCAGCAGATAGAAAAGCACCTAGAAATGGAAAATGAAACAGGTAATTTTTGTTGTGGTTTTAACTTCCCATGCGAAAATAACTGCTCACACGAAACCTAGAACAAGAATAGTACGGAGTACCCTCTCACCCTCTACCTAGATTCAGCTGTGAAGTCTTACCGCGTTGGCTTTTTATCACTTGCGTCCTCTCTGACCACCCTAACCAGCCCCCCCCATGTATCAATTAATATCTATCAGTCGTCCATCTGTCATCCGTCTAGCCGTCTGTCTGTCATCCATCATTCTCTCCGTGGGGGAGCAGTCTTAGAGGCCAAGACCAGACGTTCTAGGTGGATAAAGCGTGTGGTCTAGAGGCTTGCTGACCCTGGGTCCAACTCCATAAAGATGCCTTTACTCACTATTCAACCCGTGACAAGCCCACAGACTTCCTGAGCTATATGCCCATTGGTAAACGAGAATAATGACACCTGCCTTCCCCCCTCGGAAGATGGCTGTAGGAATCAAGATCATTACCGCGTCCGTGTTTTGTTGTTGAGGGCCCGCACTCGAAACAGTACTAGCCTGGGTTCAAGGCAATGTGTAGGAGTTCGTGTGATGGGAAGTAAGTGCGACCATAGTGAGACACAGGCTAATGGGAGAAGGAGGAGTTGGCTGCCCCTTCGAGGCCCTGGAGGAGAATATGTGACTGGTTAGGAGAATGGCTACGAGTGAGAGATCAAGGATGGAGAGAGGCAGCATCTCAGAAGCACCAAGGAACAACCAATGTGCTGAGAGCATCACAGACATCAAGAAGTATGGCCCATTTGGGAGGCTGGAGAACGTGAGACTGTCTTGACCCAAGGGAGGACAGAATCAGTGTTGTGTGAGTGTTGGAATTATACACCATGCAGGTGGATTGCACAAATTAGACAAAATGTTGCTAATTCTGACTGTTCGTACCTCGTTAAATTCCCACTGATGTTGGGATGGGTGGTACTGTTTTGGGTGAATCCCCACTCTCCCAGGAATTTTCCCACTTCCCTTGCAGGGGGCCTGTGTGTTCTCCGGGTGGGAGGAGGGGTTCTTCTGTAGGTTCCTGATGTGGTAGAGCAGTGGCCTTGTCTCTGGGCCTCTGGCACTGGCCTTGCTGAGCTGTGGTAGCCCTAGATCAGCTGTGCTCACACCTTGCTGAAGCCTTGGTCCCTGCCCTGGGCTCTGGTCACGAGGGCCCCACTACTGCCTCCCGCTCCCTGAGACCTCTTCTGACCACACCTGCCCTCAGCACCCGCACCTGACTATGTTCTGAGGCGTCTGGGAGTGGCTGTAACTATGAGACACTTTTCAGCTGCTCTCCCCACCTCCTGCCTGGACACCCCTTCTGCCAGCTCCCCCTTGCCCACACAGCATACCCTGCCTGGCACTGTTTTTGCCAGTGGCTTCCCTGGGTTTTCCTGGCTCAGCTCTGAGCCCACGGTGGAAGCTGAGCAGGTCAGAAGCTCAGAAACCCATTGATTTAGTGAAGGGAAGCCTTAGGGCTTTGTGGTCAGAAGAGAGTGAAATAGCTCAAAACTAAATACTTTCCAAAAGAGAAGAATAAGCTTTGAATACACGTAACTCTGAGGTCCTTTCAGTCCTTCTGCCAAGACTAGATGAGTAACTCTGGGGACCACACCTGCTAGGGTGGAGGGTCATGGCCACACCACATGAGGCCGTTGTTAACTTGGACCTGTGAGGAAATTCACCGTTTGCTGTGCTGCAATTTAAGTGTCTTTTAGAAGCCTGGGATGCTAGAGGTCGATAGAACGCGCACTTTCTCTTCCCGCCTAAGAAAGCCTGGGGCTTTGGGGAGCGCTTCACATCATTCATGAGCTCACAGCGGTGTGCTGGGGAGAGCAGCAGGGCTCACAGGAGTGCCCTTCCGGACCCAAACCCTGGCCCCGCACCTCACGGGTAGAGCACATGTCCTGTGGTTGTGTCCTGAGTCCTTCCAGGCACACGGCGCCCTGGCCCCTCGGCGCCCCGATGCTCAGGGAACCCTGGAGCACAGCTGCTGCGTCACCCAGTACCAGGAGGCTGCGTCAGCTCCCCAGGCTGTGCAGTACCGTCCCCAAGATGCGCGTGACCTACTTCTCAAGGGATTATGAAGATAGAAATCAAACACTCGCAGACATTTTTAAAAGTATATGGATGGGAAGTGCTGCTTTCAGGATGTGCCCACCTCAGCCCCAGACCGGCCCCGCTTCCTGGGTGCAAGATGTAGTGGGGACTCAGGCCCAGGATGGGTCAGTGGGATCTGGGCTGCTCGTCTGCCCGGGCTGTTTCTGGCCCTTCCTATTTTCAACCACAACCAACCTATTCAATGAGATGGATTCCTTTGAGTAAACTTCCCTTACGCCTGTGACTTTGAGAGACCCCGGCAGCCCTCGGTCCTTTCTGGTGAGGATCTCTTTTCCAGATAGAAAAGGCCCAGTGCTGTGGGTTAGCAACACCCTCAGCTGCTTAATTTAAAATTCTCACGACCCTCCCCCGTCCTAGCCCCGTCCTGCACCAGCCGGAACCCGGGGCCGGAACCCGGGGCCGGGAGCTGTGCACAGCACCATAGGGTAGGAGCCTCCCCTCCCCGGCCTTACCCGCACACCCTTCCCCACTGCAGCCCGGGCATCCTCCAGGTCAGAGGAGGGTGGGAAGAGTCAGGAAGCCCTACTTCCGCAGCACAGTGAGGTCTGCAGGCCTCCTGTGCCCCCACCATCCTCGAGACCTTACAGCTGTTGCCCTCTGGGTGCAAAGGGTGCCTCTCAGGATGTTTTCCCTTCCACTGGGGTCGTCTTTCCTCTCCAGACCATTCTCCTGAAGGTCCGTCTGAAGATGGTCCATGGGAGGCGACAGCTGGCTAAGGAGACAAAAACGTGCCCTTTGTTTTCCAGACAGAGGCAGCCAGCCAGATGCAGCCTCCCATTCAGACTTCCCAGGCATCAGAGTCACTGCTGCTTCCTTCAGAGGACACAGGCCGATCTCCCCAAATGGGTCTTGAGGTACTTCACTTGGGTCGGGGGAGAGGAAGCACCCCTAGCTCCCTGGTGGAGAAGGGCCATGTTGAGCACAGTGGGGTCTCTCCCCTAAGTCTGCCCTGCTGGCCTCCTTCTCTAATTCAGCTTGGAACAGACCTTGGCAACCCTCCTGTCGATGGTCTAGCATCTGACTTTGAAATGTGGGGTGCTCATCACAGCTCTCTGGCCTTTGGGTTTAAATGCTGACATAATTGGCTGAGCCACCCTCAATGTTCTTCCAGCTCTCTGCTGAGCCTGGCCCAGAGACCTTCAGAAGAGGGTCTGTCCCTGGGGAGGCCCCCAAAGTAAAGGAAGCATGGTAGTGTGTGTAAGCTGCCTCTGGAAAGTGTGATTTTGTAAACAGCTTCGTCTTTCAAGCAGTTCACACGCACAGCAAAACTGGGTGGGAGGACAGGGTTCCTATATCCCCGTCACCTTTCCAGCCAATGTTCTTTTTTTCCCCTTTAAAATTATTTTTATTAAATCATACATGGACAGCAGCATCTTAGCTCTACACATGCATCTACGTTTTTTTAAAGAAACATCCTGGCTAATAGCTTTTCAGATTTTTTTTTAAAAGATTTTATTTATTTACCTGACAGAGATCACAAGTAGGCAGAGAGGCAGGCAGAGGTGGGGGGTGGGGGGAAGCAGGCTCCCCACTGAGCAGAGAGCCCGATGCAGGGCTTGATCCCAGGACCCTGGGATCATGACCTGAGCCGAAGGCAGAGGCTTTAACCCACTGAGCTACGCAGGCGCCCCAGCTTTTCAGATCTTTGAGAAAAATCTTTAAAAAGGTTTCACGTGTCAGCTGAAACATACAAATTCAGCATTATCAAAGGAGGATCGCTTCTACACTCTTACAGTGTGTAGCCTTTGTAGGTGGGCTTCTTTCACAGACCAGCCTGCATTTAAGGTGCCTCCGTGTTTTTCTGAGGCTTGTTAGCTCAGTTCTTTCTAGCACATTCAACTGTCCATCTGTTCCACAGTTTATCCACTCACTTGTTGAAGGATGTCTTGGTTGCTTCCAAGTTTTAGCAATCTGAGTAAAGCTGCTGTCAATATTCATGAATAGATGTTTTGTGTGGACATAAGTATTCAGTTCACTCAGATAAATA